CCGAGCTGCATCACACCCTTCCCAAGGGTGGGATGGCTGGAGAAGGCTTTCCACCCACCACCATACACTCAGCCTCACTGCAGACCCCTGACTCACAGCAAGAAGGACACTCTGCCATGGGACTCTCCAGGTATTTTATCCCCTCGGAAACCCATCTATAAAATCCCAGCTTTTTCCAAGAGCCGTGATAACTTCAGAAGCTGAGCAGCTGCTTGCTCCCAGCAAGGAGCTGCTGGCATCACAGTGCTTCACTGCTTTCCATAGAGAAATCCTTTACAACAGACTGATTTTGTACTTCTATTGGCAATTTTAGGCGCAGACATTCCGGCTGATGGTCCCTACACATCCCCCCACAAATGTGCTGTGGCTCCCTGACCCAACACATGTACAGGAGCCCGGGGGTCTGAGCATCAGCAAACCCCAAGGCAGAGGAGTGTCTGTCTCTGCACCCAGGAGCTCGAGGTGGAGTGGGGACTGTCCCCATGATGCCTCCCTCCAGGGGTGACAGCCACCTGAACCCAGGGTGACCACACTGGTCTGGGGTCCTGCTCCTGCAGGGAGGCACAGGGCCCTCAGCAAGGTGATATCCAGCAGCATGCACCCTTTCCATCTCTCTGGGAGATGCAGAGGAGATTTTGTGCAACTTCTGAGTCATTCAGATGAGGACCCCCTCAAAAAACACATGTCCATCTGCCCTGGCTTCAAGAATGAAACCCCTGGAGCTCTGGAGCTTCTCCCCACCCCACCAAGGCACTCAATACTCAAATGCACCCTTGGCTTACCAACATTTTAAGGACGAGGGGAAAACAGACGGAAAAGTATTCCTTTTTCCTTTTTTTCTTTGCTTGTTTTGATCATTTTGAGGCACAAAATGCATAGAGTATGGTTACTCTCAGAGCGAAGGGATAGCACTGAACAGTGCAAACAATTTAGCATCAGGCCAAGTCCTCAGAAGTAATAAAGTTTAGTACAGATACTACACACAGCCAGTTACTTTGAAAATATGCTATTAATATTATTGGCTAATATTAATATTATGTGAATTAACAGTAGCATGCAGGTGACAGAAAAGGGTATAAGAAAAAGTAGTGTAAAACTCACATCCGGGTGTGGAATAGCATATTGTCCCTGAATTGTATAGGCCTGTAAAGGAAAAAAACAGATGTTAGTAGGGCTCATAGGACACAGGGAGAGAACTCCATCCCTATGCCAGGACCTCCTCCTGTGCCACATTAAATTCCCCAGAGCAGCAACTCCTTGGGGCAGGATGGAGGTGTACACCTCCGATCCAACCTGGAGCATGCTGAGCTACCTGACTTCAAGGGCTTGGGCTCAGTTTGGCTTTTCCAAAAGGAAAGAAACAGCTCTTTAAATGTGCCAGTATTGTGCACATATAGAGCAGGAATATCAGGTTTGTGACTGGGCTTTGCTATACAAAAAATAAGGCTCAAACCATGGCAGGGAGTTGGAACTGGATGATCTTTAAGGTCCTTTCCAACCTAAGCCATTCTGTGATGCCGTGATAACCACAATTATCTGTGTAGCAGGTGCACGGTGACATTGCCGCTGCCCTTCACACCTAGGGGTGACCCTAGAAAGCAAGACAGTGCCATGAGTCTCTCTGTGTTTTCAGGTGCACAACTCCCAGTGGATGCTTTACATCCACCCACTAGATTCCAGTGCTCTGCGGGGGCATTGGAAGGGCATTGAGGTGAGGGCTCATGGCCAGGCTGCCTGCACGGCAATGCCTTTCACCAGCTACAACTCACAAATCCATGCAGATATCTGCCAGGCAAATAGTTTTGTGTGGTTTTTTCCCCATCCTTTGCAGCAATCTTTTCTCTTTTCGCTTTGGTAAATAACCCAAAGATAAACACTGCATGTGGGCGAAGAGCCAGACACTAGAGAGCCCAATATTTAGGACTTAACCAGCTAGCAAAACGTATCTCACTGGTTGACACATTATTCAGATGATTCTGAAAGAAATGGCAAGAGATGGAGAACACTTTGAAAAGGGAGAGTAAAGATAGGCATGAAAAAGGCAAAAAAAATAACCACCTTGGAAGCTCCTGCAAATTTACCACATCGTTTGCAAACAGCAAAGTGCTTTGTGTGAGGAAAATCCCCAAAATCATGGAGGAGGAAAAGGGAAATGACTGTCCCAGTGTCTGCCAGCATCCTGGCAAGAGGGGGACATGGCAGAGCTCTGAAGAGCTGCCTGTCCTGGTGGCTCAATTGGTCATTGGGTTTTGATTAGAAAAATTGAGTTGGAGAAGGTAATTAAGGGCAGGAAGGTGTCTTGGATAGACTCGGACATTGCCCACGGACAACGGGGCTGGTCCCTTTGGCAGCTGCCATTGGCCACTGTGTCACTCAGTCTGCTGAGCTCTTGAAGGCCCATCCCACCCCAAACACCTGACACTACGGTCACTGGCTATCTTACACCCACTCACCCCGTGCCACCCCTCAGGCAGAGCCAAAGTAGTCCCAGCCTTGGGAAGAGTTCTCATTTCAGAGACAGTTGCCTCTTCCCGTGACATCACTTCTGTCCAAGACACCAACCGTTCACCAACAGGAGAAATGCTGCATCCATCTTACTCTCTCTTTTGAGAAGATCAGTTCACCAAGCAGCTGGACTCAAAGCTCTTTTCCAGGATGGCTGCTCAGACTGCATGACACACTCCTGATCCTGGCAATGACTAATTCAGCCTGAAACAGCCTGTTTCAGGCTTCCCAGTGATCTGGGCTTTGATCTCATCCTTAGTTTGTCCTATTTACCATGGTTGGAGAGAAACGAAATAACTCACGTGGAGCTGCTCTAGGTGGCATTAGCTATATATTGTGGTGCTGGCTCTACCTGGCTGCTGGAGCTCCTGCTAGATACGTTGCACCACAGCATGGTGGCATCCACAGGCATGTCCTTGGTCACTAGGTGAGATGAGGAGATGCAAAAAGCAATGGGGCAAGTTCCCTCTTTGGAAAGAGTAATTTGCTCAACTGTTCATGTTTCTGGTGATTTGCAATTGCAGCGTAACCTCACTAGAAATACCACATTGTGGCTGCAATGCCACGCCGAGGGCAATGCAATGCAGGCTCTCCCGTGGGGGGAACCAGCACCCCAAATTGGCCGAGCATCAGGAACAAGGATATGAGTCCTCCATGAAGCCTGCCTAGAGCAAAGGCTCAGCACAGCCCTGGAGCTACTGGGACAAAGCCTTCCTATCTCAGATCAATTACAGCTACACAAAGTTATTTTTAATTGGGCGGAAGATGCCAGAAAACAGTCACAGCCTCTTGTTCAATGACACTTTCCTAATTTTCTCTATCTTAATCACTGAAAAATATTGAATTTGGGTCTAATGAAGCAAATTCTAGCCTTTTTTGGGTGTGTGAGGACCTAGCAGAGTGCTAGTAGGTCACCCTGTCTGCCCAGGCTGACCCTTTCCTTATCCTCATCCTCCAGCATTCATCGCAGGAACTAAGCCATCAGTTCTACCAAGAGCTTTCAGTCCAGCTGTCGTGGCACACAATGGATGGGATGACACCATGCAAGTCAGAAGGCAAGAAACCTGAGTGCACTAACGGGCAGCGGCTGGTGCTGCAGTAAAAGGCTGAGGTTGGCAGTGGAGGCTGCAAGCGGGTCGGCTCTTACCTGACCACCTGCAAAAATGACAGGGGTGGAGGCGGGCTTTGGGCGGTAGGGAATGGTGGCACCTTTTGGTGGGGACTAGGAAAAGGGATAAGGAGAGGGAGAGAGAACATTAGAACAGCTTTCCTGAAACGGCGGCAAAAAGAGCGTTAGAAAGCACCTAACGGAGCACGGCCCCCGGGGCCGCTGCCAGCAACACCCGCACCAGGCAACACCGCGTTTCTGGACAGGAGGACACGGGGAAAGCAGTGTTTCATGGACAACAAGGACAACCTGGGGTACAGGAGATCTCCTGCTAAGGTACGGGCCCCTAAATTGCTTCCTGGTCCTCCTCTGCCTCACTTGCCTTTGTTCTGCTCTGCACAAATCATGTCACCTGGTCAAGATTCCTGGAATCCTCCTCAAAACACCCCGAGGAGAACCTCAAGCAGCAAGATGGGGACGTACAGCCTATTTGAGTGACCTGGCACAATCTCAAGCTCTTGCATCACCCTCATTGTTCCTGCTGGAACAATGTCACCTTCAGCACTTGGTTTGGTCCATCGCCATCCAAGCTAGGATGTGGATGGCCATGCAGCACTGTCACGGTGGTCAAGTGGGAGGTGCCCTTGTCATGTCAGGGAGTTGGAACTAGATGATCTTTAAGGTCCCTTCCAACCCAAAGCATTCCATGATTCTATGACCTTGCTCCTCATTGCTGTAGCCAGTCTCCTCCCTCAGTAGGCCCAAGCAGAGCTGTAATGAGACACTCCACGGCATCTTCTCCAGTGAGAAGATCAGGGGATCTTCTCACCCAAGTTCTCTCTGTTGGTTTTCTCTTGAACATAACTAACAGGCCATACAAAATATGGAGGCTTTTAGAGATCAAGAGAGATTTTAGTTCTTCTCCTGCTTCTACCCAAAATGAAATGACCCAGTGACTGCTATATAAGGTCAGGCAATATAAATTACTCTATCTCATGGAAAATTTTTCTTTTTTTTCTGTGCATTCTTCTAGATGTCTACTTGTAGTCAAGCAACATATCTAAATCCTCTTGCTAAGCATCAGTCTGCAGGGAAGCTGTAAGATCAAAACACATCTCTAGCATCCCATGCCTCCTTGTTCTTAATATGGACTTACAAATCTTGAAGGGGTAAGCCAGGATTATCTATTTAAGACTGAAAGGTGATAGGGAGCATGTCTATGAACTGTTAAGGTCTGCAGACTTCCCAGATGTCAGACTGCAAGAAGACTCATGGGTTTTCTCCTTTCCTTGGCTGAGTTGTACAGAGGAACAACACCTCTTGCTTTAAGAGAAAAGCAGGCAAAAGAGACTTTATAACACACCTGCAAGCATCACCTCAGGCTCATCTCTGCCCCAGTCCATGACCTGCAGTCACTGTGGGCCTAAAATTTCTCCGGCAGAGGTGTACCTGCCTGAGCATCCCTGACAGCAGTGATGGGTAACATGGCTCCTGGAAATTCCTCCTGAGCTGTGCTGCTGCCAAGATGAAGGTGCTTTATTTTGGCTTTTCTTCACCTCCACCAAGCCTTGCCACCCCCATCTGAAACTTTTCCAGTGGGAAACATGCTCCTCCCTTCTGTTAAAGGGCTGTGCAGCCAGTCAGAGGGGCCTGACATTGGTCCTGGCTTTGTCTGTCTCTGGGAGGCACCAGGAGTGGTGTTACTATCCTGTGTCCTGAGGGCTTTCCTCCTGGCACTGCTCCCATCTGAGCTGGCAGGTGTGGACATCAGGCATGTGGCTGTGGTAATCTCCAGCAATAAGCCATTGGTACAGCAGCACCTCTTCATGGCAGAGATCTTCAAGCTTCGCTTGTCAGTATTTATCCCAGAAAACAGCACCTTGGACATACATTCATGCACCCTACAGTCCCTGCTCTCCATCAGCCTTCCTCACCACTGTGCCTCCAGGTCAGCTTTGCGCTCCCAGTTGCAGCTCCCCCAGTGCAGGGGATGCACTGGCCTCCTCCTCCTCCCAGTTGTGGTCCTCGTGGCACACCGTGACCCCTGTGCAGAGGAGACCATGTAGGAACTTGGAGGAGTACCCATCTCCTTCCCATGGCACCCTGGGTGCTGCTAAGATACCAGGCTAGGCTGTCCCAGCCTGCCTGCCACCCCTCTCTCCTGACGCCACCTTCTACTCTGACACAAACCATCTCCTTCGGGGCGCCCGACCAGGCAGGTTTCCAGTG